CTTATGTTGGACAGATGGATTATTAAATAACGGATTATTCAATAGTATTTGAAATACAAACCAAACACACATGTATTTTTGCAACTTACAAATTATTATATATGTGTTGGGACAAGTAAAAAATATACATTTTCGATTTTGGCACTTGTCGGAGTTTGACATCGACATCAATTAAAAAAATCTTCCACAGACAAAGACTTATGGATAGTAAAGCCATTTTGTTTGGATCAAAATCAATATGAATTAAATGTTTTAGGACAAATTTGAGTTGTCCATGAAGAGTAACTTTTACAGAAGTTAAATATTAATCAAAATGTTTTCAGGATATTTATGCCCATGATTCCATTGCCCCAAAGTAAAACAAAAACTAGTATGGCTTTGATTGGGTACACAGATGGACAGAGCGGAAGTTTAAAATAATTTTCTAGTGAGAGAAATAAGTGTGTTTTATCTCCACTTGAATTCTTCCATTTCTTCCTATTTTGATGTAGATATTGGAGTTTCCATGAAGCCGTGAAGCTTATCAAACGAAGGAGAAAGAGGATAATCAATCGAAGAAGATAATCAATCTATAACCAAGCTTACTCTCAACTAGATTATCCATCTTTTAAAGTTATTACTACAATGTATAATGTCCAGTTTCTTGTATTTGGTTAAACAAATAGAGCAAAAGGATAGGACAGTTTGTTGGGTACATTGTTTTGTGCATTAAGTTGTTATAAACTTGGTGATAGATTTTAGCAATTGACTCCTAAATGAGTATCTTTCAGATATATGTTTTAATATCGAATTTGGTCAATAAACATCATGCTCTTTTCATTTATGTCTACATTTGTCCATCCATCTGATTATGCTCACTTACACACACGGATGTTATAGCCACAAGGTAACCACGTGTTGAAAGTTTTATTTACCAACTAAGATTTCATAGTTCAGCTGTCAAAAAATTCGGAAGAGTTGGCCTCTTACATCAAAATTTATGCTTTAACAATCCACCCACCTATCTTCAATGGAAACAACTACGGCTACTGAAAAAGATCGAATAAAGCTTATCGATTGACGCTCAGTAATGACACCTGGGAAATTGTTGAGTTTGGATAGACTCCACCAACAAGAATCATACCTAGAGAGACTCCAAACAATTCATCTACTATGACCCTCAAACCGAAGAATGAATGAGACTCTCAATGAAAAAGTTGAATGTCATTTTTATTTCTATGGAGAAGTTTAGTTCAAAATCATTTCCAACTGTAAGAAAGCAAATGATGTTTTGGATGCCTTTCAAGGTGCATTTGAAGGCACGACTAAAGTATGAGAGACGAAGTTGCAGAGAATGGAAAGCATGTTTGAATCTTTGAAGATATTTGAATATAATACTATCGATCATTTCTACAGTCTTTTCAAGGACATGGTAAATCAAGTTTACACCCTCAGTCTACACTAAGAAGAGCATAAACTTTTGAGAAAAATGTTTAGATCGATAACCAAGAAGTTCAGTCCAAAAGTTGCAATTCTTGAAAAACTTGACAAACCAAGAACGATGAGTTTAAAAAGTTTGAATGGTATTCTATGACGTATGAGATGAACCATCTTGATGAAGAAACCTCAAAAAATATTGCTCTATATGTTGAAGATCAACAACTTGTAGAATCCGATGAAGAGATGTCATTGTTGTCTAAAACATTATCAAGAATGATCAACAATAAATGGATTCAACAATATCACAACAAGTCTAGGAACATGAATTATTGTGGTGCTAGAACATTAAGAGAACAACGAAATTCCATGAACAAAAAAGTACAATCTATAACAAATAAAAAGTTTATTTGATCGAAGCTACGAAAAGAAGTTCAAAATTACATCTAGACCAAATACCTCAAAACATGCATGTTTTGAATATGGAGAAATAGGCCATGACAAAGCTGAATGTCCATCAGTCAAGAGGAAATATAAACATGCATTTCAAGTCACCTAGAATGATGATGAGAATGGTACTCCTAATGTTGATGATCATGATCGGAAGAAGTAATGATGAAAGAGTATTGCTTTTACAGTTGACAATGATGAACCTAGCAAAGTCAAAGAGAATGTAGTCGCCGAATACAACAACAGTAGTGAAACTACTATGATGGATGTTAAAGAACTGATGGAATCCTATTAAGAAGTTGTAGTTGAGCAAAAGAAATATTGTTGTGATGAACATAGAGTTGATTAACACAATCTTTCGATTGGGAGGCAAAATACGAAGTGATTGATGAACAAATGATAACTTGTTTGAGAATGCTGAGAAACTACATAGGAAGATCAAAAGTCTGATGACCGAGAACACAAATCTGGGGGAAGAAAATAACAGGCTGATTATGAAAGAAATGTTGGATGAAGTCTTGTCGATTAAAGCAAATCTATGAGTATTGCCTCGTTTTTGTTTTCTTGTTTCTTTGCTTCATTCAAAAAAAATGATGCATTGTTCGAGTACATACAAAATATTAATTTTTCGCAAAAAAAAATCATATCTATATAAATTTTCCATTATAATAATGTAATAGTAAAAATTGTACGATAGCATATCTACTTAATATAATAATATTTTTCTTCTTTTCCATTAACAAGTTGATTTTGATCTCAAGCAACGAGATTTAAAATGGAGAAGAACAAGGATCAGAAATAAATAAAGATAGGAGTTTTATTATTATTATTATTATTATTATTATTATTATTATTATTATTATTGCACTTAACATTAAAAATATCCTTATATTTGTATAATTTACTCCACAAATATCATTGTATTTGTATTATAAAAGACTAATAAAGGTATTTTTGTATTTTTATCTTGATTTGTATTACGTATTGATATAATAATTAATATTCAAATATCGACACGCAAAAAACTCATGATACTCTTCTTATGGGACGGAGGTAGTATTATTATTATTACCTTACACATGCACACACTCCACAGAAATTGAACTTCCAACCTTAAGCATGCCAAGGAGTTTTCAACCACTTGAGTTACAATCTCTTGGCAATCAAGATAGAAGCTTTGATTTCTCAACTATACTATTACTTACAGTATGTTTCTGCTCTTTGTGTTACTGTTGGAACCGAATTTTGTGAGGTCCCAAATACCTTTACGAGACTATGAGCCTTTTCAAATATTATGCGTCCTGAGAGGTTTCGAGTCTTCTTCGAGTATTACGTGCCATAAAATCAAACGAGATTATCGCCGAAAGTTGTTGACTTAGGGTTTCGAAAAGTACTCTAAAAGGCCTTGCCGAAGGTCGAGGCTTACGGTCCTTAGCCTTGGAAAAGCTTCGGACTATCGCATATGGCATGTGCGCGGCCCTTGACGAGAAGGCCAATGAGTTGAAGACATACTCGTGATCCTTAGACGTAAGAGGCTTTGGGCTATATTCCTTAGCGACAGAGGGCTTTGGACAGCTAAAAGTATTGAGTATGCGGCCGGAAATTGCAAGGCCAATGGAGAAATAGAGTGATTTCCATAGAATCAACTCTTTAACTACTCAATCTAATGCATTGATTAAAAAATAAGCTAAAATTAATGTAAAAATGTTGAAATTAATGAAAGGTAATGGATAAATTAACTGAAAAATTAACGAAATAGATAAACATTATTGAAACTATGGATAAACAGATAAATTCTACATCCTAAGGATAAGAATAAACTAAAAGAGCAAAGAATAAGATATATGTTAAAATATTAGTTTTTTTTTTAACCTAATACATATATATATGTATCTTAGAAATTAGAAACTGTTCACTATCTAATTTTAAGGGATTAGTTATTTCAACATTAAATTTTCCACGTCTTAGATAGTTCTGTAGAGGCCTTTGGTGATGTCTCTCATGTCTCACTCCCCTTAACTACCTTTGACATTGTCAAACTTTTCTTTGTGGCTGGAGGGACCTAGCAGTATAAGGCCGGCGGACTAAAAGGCTTCGCTTTCGGGAGGCTTTGGTCTACTTTGAAGCAGCTCGGTGGGCTGGAAGGCTCTAGCTTCGGGAGGCTTAGGTCACTTTTGGTGTCCCGAAGTTTCTTCTTATTATTCCTTCTTGGCCATGTCTTCTTCTTGTTCAGATACTTTTGGATCCATATCCAATAGGATCCATATCCAATAGTTGCTTTTCCATTTTAGAATTTTTAAGTGTGTATGTTGTTATGTTGGCTTGGATAAGTAGATAAGGGAATATGATAATAGATACTTTTACTATTGTTGCTATTTTCATGTTTTTTACCTCTTTTGTTTGTATGCTGATTAATTTTTCAGGGTTGGGCTTATCATTTTGATCTTTATTATTGATTGTGTTTACCTAACTCTTGTTATTATTTGTATTTTCATGTTAAATGTTGAAAATACAATGTTTGTATTTTGATGTTTTGAATGTTGAAAATGTAATTCTTTTTCATACGGTGCACGGCCTTCTTTTATCTCATCAATTTTTTTCTTTCCTTCTATTCCTTATCCATCTTCTTCTTTTTCATTTCTTACCCACCAAATATTTCGTATTCTTCTCTAAAAAGAAACCACTTATTCCCAAAAATCGGTTTTTATTTTGGATCTGACCCCACCGAGGTGGCAAGCCATGCTAGCAAGATGAATTTGAATTTAAAATTAAGTCTAACAAGACGAACTCGAGCCACTATTTTAATTCGGATATTTTAATTTGGGTCTTAAAACAAACCGAGTTGAACCCATACTGATAGCATAATCAAATTGCTCAAATAACAAATAGTTGAATTCACTCGAATCTTGTTGTCGTCAACGCAGCAAATAATTAGACCTAAAAAAGAAAAAAATTAAAAGCTATACACTACCCCTACACAACAATATTGTATGTGTGCAATACGCAGGAAATATCTAACCAATAAAATATCCACACGTGTCGGTTCCCGTTAAACTATTCTTTCCGAATAAGACATCAAATCGCAAATGCAAATGCATGCACCCAATCCTATATATAAACCCCCTTTCGAATACATCATTTCATCCCCACTCTCACTCCTCACTTGCATTTCTAAATCTTCTCTCTTTCTCACTCCTCATTTCCATCAATGGCGTCGCCTTCCTTACCTGTGCTCTCCAAATGCAGCGTCGTTCCTCATCGGAAATCCAGTTTGGGCGATCTCAAGCTGTCCGTTTCGGATCTTCCGATGCTGTCCTGCCATTACATTCAGAAAGGCGCGCTCTTCACCGTTCCTCCGGATTCTCCTCTTTCCGACATTATTTATCTGCTCAAAACGAGCCTGTCGGCGACGCTCAATTGGTTCCCGCCGCTCGCCGGTCGTCTCACCACCGACGCCGACGGATACGTTTATATTACCTGTAATGACGCTGGCGCCGATTTTATTCATGTTGACGGTTCGAGGATTTCCGTTAGGGATTTGATCGGCTCCGGCTCCGGCGACGTGCCCGAATTGGTGAAATGCTGCTTCGCCTTTGACCGGACGTTAAGCTTCGAAGGACATTTCAAGGCGATTCTCGCCGTTCAGGTGACGGAATTGGCTGACGGCGTCTTTATTGGCTGCTCCGTCAATCACGCCGTCATGGACGGCACCTCTTTCTGGAATTTTTTTAACGGCTTTGCTGAGATAAGCAGAGGGTTGAAGATGATTTCGAAGACGCCGGATTTCAGTCGTAACTCGGTTTTGATTTCTCCGGCGGTTCTCAAACTTCCGGCCGGCGGTCCGGCGGTTACCTTCTCCACCGACGCTCCGATTCGGGAGAGGATTTTTAGTTTCAGCCGGGAATCGATTTTGAAGCTGAAAGCCAAAGCTAACGACGTTGACGGCGGGATTGACGCCGCTGAGCTTATGGGGAAGTTCAGCAACGACACGTGGAAGAATCCCGAAGGGAAGTTAACGCCGTTAGTCAGCAAATCGACGGCTGAGATTTCATCATTCCAATCACTCTGCGCTCTGCTGTGGCGTGGCATCACGCGCGCCAGAAACCTACCGCCTTCCAAGACGACGATGTTTCGAATGGCGGTGAATTGCCGGCACCGGCTCGAGCCGAAGCTGGAGCCGCTGTACTTCGGGAACGCTATACAGAGCGTGGCGACGTACGCGGCGGCGGGTCACGTGGTGTCGAGCGACTTGCGGTGGTGCGCGGCGGAGCTGAACAAATCGGTGGCGGCGCACGACGGCGCTATGGTGAAGAAGTACGTGGAGAATTGGGAGGTTGAGCCGAGATGCTTTCCGCTGGGGAATTTCGACGGCGCCGTCGTGACGATGGGCAGCTCGCCGAGATTTCCGATGTACGACAACGATTTCGGATGGGGGCGGCCGGTCGCCGTCAGGAGCGGTACGGCCAACAAATTTGACGGTAAGATTTCGGCGTTTCCCGGCCGGGCAGGAGGCGGCGCCGTCGATTTGGAGGTGATTTTGGCGCCGGAAACCATGGCCGGGCTGGAGTCCGACCCGGAATTCATGCAGTTCGTTGTCTCCAATTAGTTCCGTGCAGTGCAGTTCATGTTGTATTTGTAATAAATAATAAATAATTGCTAAAATAAGTTTAAGTAATTAAATGCGGGTAATTATGAGTACGTTTCTGTGTATTTATTGCATGAATAGATAGACATAAATATATGTAAATGTTGTTGTTCCACATCCGATAAAAGTAGTACTATAGTATTCCTATCTAAAAACCTACTTCTAAGTTGAAGACGTTGTTTATATAACTACTTTTAAGTCTGTTTAATTATTTTATTTATTTAATTAACACATAAAATATACAATTATTTTTTGTAGTTAAAAATAATATAATGACATTTTTGTTCTTACTTTTTGGTATAAAAGTAATGATGTGATGTAAAGTAAAAATATTTATGAATAAAAATGAGGTATTTAATAAAATATTTACTTTCTAATTAGACGTTTCAAAATAGAAATACGTATACTTTCTAGTTGGAAAGAGAAAATAGTATTTATTAAAACTATTTATTTATAATAAACAATTTTATCTAATTTTTGATTTAATTATTCTTATTTTAATAAATAGTAATTGACGCTATTTTTTTTACTTATTCTCTTACTTTGTTTTTATAATTTTTTTAATACATTTTTATAATATTTTATTTTATTTTATTTTTATCTATTCTATTTTGATAATATTAAAATATTACTCTCTTCATCTCATATTTATTTATCCATTTATTTTTTTGCATATTGGAATATATTAGAAATAAAGATAAAAAAAAACTAAATGTAAATATAATATTATTTGTATAATATATTATAAATTGAAAGGGTATTTGTAATGTTAGTAAATAGAATAATTACTAAAAAATAAAATAAATTTTTTATTATGAGATAGATCAAAATAAAAAAATAAATAATTTGTTAATAGACGAAGTATTAATTAATTTTGATTACCAACCAAATCTACGTCATTTTACATGATGAAAGAGAATATATATATATATATATATATATTTAATAGAACATCAATTCAAAATATACTCAAATTTTCTTTTCAAACTTTTTAAAGCTTTTAAAATTATAGTCCATTCATTTCAAATCAAAGTACATAGTTTAACATTTACTCTTCGGCGACACCTGGCGGACACATCACATCTGGTGAGCCACGTGGACATCTCCGATGCCGGTGGACTAAAACAGAAAAAAAAATTTACTTATGGGACTAGTTTGCGACAGGCTCTACTTACGGGACTAAAATTATAAGGGAGTTCAATTACAGAACTAAAAAAACAGTTTACCCAAAATATCATTTTTCTATTTGAAAAATAAAATTATACGCTATACCAAAATACTCTTTAAATTTTATTTAAATCACAAAAGTATCATTATACATTAAAATAATTTTATACATATAATATCAAAAAGCAAAAGCGTCAAAACTTTTATCATACTTCTACTAACTAATAAAATATTTTTATATTTTAATCAATTATAAAATGTCAAAACCTCTTTCAATTAGGAAGGATGGAGTCTAAAATATTCTTTTCGTCCCCCAAATATATTTTCATTTTTATTTTTTCTGTCCAATTAAATTTGACTTATTACTAATTTTTAATAAAATCAAAATATCAACATTTAACTATAACATTTATTTTCTTAAAAAAGAAAAAATTATTCCCTCCGTCCCGTTGAAAGGTTGCTATTTTTCATTTTCGTCCGTCCCAAAACAAAATTACCATTTCCTAATTTAGTAATTGTACTACCTACCTAACATAATAAATATCCTTCCCACTTACACTATATTACACAAATGTCATTACTTTTATATTACACAATACTAATAGGGGTATTTTCGTCTTTTTCACTACAATCCATTATAATACTAATATTAAAAAATTTACGTGTAAAAAACAAACGTCTGCCTTGTTCTGGGACGGAGGGGTATAACATTTATTTACAAAAGAAAATTACTATCCTTATTATACACTATTCGCATTCTTTCTTTTCATTTTGTTTAAATTTTTATAAATATCTTCCGACTATTGTATACTTTTCAATAAAATATTTATGTTATTAATCTATCTATCTATTTAAAATGGGCTAAAATTGTGGGACATCAGAATGTATTATTTATTCCTCTCTTAAAATCATGTCAATTTATTTTTCTGTTGTCTAGCTAAATTTGGATAATTTATTTATAGTAAAATATTTTATCAAGTCATAAATATTTTAATAAATACTTCATTTGTCCACGAAATTAAGTCATACCAAATATAGTCATGTTATGTAAATTTATAAGGAACGTGACATAATTACGGTGGAAGAGAAAATACTCCTCTCTCCACTTACAAATGTTACATTTATTTTTGGCGCGGTGTTTAAGAAATAATAGTATTTTAATTATAGTGAGTAGTTAAAAACAGTGTAATGATATTTTTGTCCTTATTTTTTTGTGTATAAAAGTAATGATGTGATGTAAAGTAAAGGTATTCGTAGAAAAAAGTAAGGTATTTAATGAAATGTTAACTTTGTAATTGGATATTCCAAAATAAAAATAAGTAAACATTGTAAGTGGACGGAGAGAGTAATAATTATTTTGTTACTATTTTCTGTTTTATTTACTATTTTTTAATCATTGTAATAAATTTTGCATTTACTTTACTAAACATTTTACCTGACGATTTATATTAAAATATTATCTTTTGTTTCACATTTTTATCCACTATTACTATTTTTATTCGTTTTATTTTATTTGTCCTTTTTTTTTCTTAGAAATACGTTTATATATTTTAATCACATTTTAAATTTTATAATTTATAATTTTATAATTTTAATTATACTATTTAATTATTTTAATCTTAATCAATAATTAATTTTATTATAAATTATTATTTTTACTAATATATTTTTTTATTATATTTTACCTAAATTTAGGTATATATATAGTAAATCGAACGCAAAATATAAGTAGAAAGGAGTATTATTTTCTTATTTTTTAAACAAACAAAAATGTATTTTTATCAAACCGATGAGTTTATTAAAAAAATTTTAAATAAATATTACATTCAATACATATTTAAAGTATATCAAATATTTATGTTTGTTTCTCTATTATTACTCTCTAAATTTCACCAAAACTGTCAATGTCACCGTAAACATAAAAATTTAGAAAAGAATATAATTAGTAAAATAATTAAAAAATACATTAGTAACAATAATTATTATAGAATATAAAAAATTATAAATTAATATTAAAATGACTAAATAATTTAATTAAAATTAAAATAATTGCAAATTATGAAATTAAATTATATAATTATTTAAATAAAAAGAGAAAAAAATATAGTAGAATGAACAAGAATAATTAAAAAAAAAAAACAAATTCTCGTGAGATTAATGAAATATTTCCTCCGTTCCACCACAATTGACACTATTTTTTTTTGTCTGTCCCATAACAATTGACACTTTTTTTTTTTCATAAAAATTATTAAATCAAAACATATTTAACAAATATAAATCAACTTAATTAACTAAATAACATACAACATCATAAATGACGTAGGAACCACTTAAAACCCCTTTATTTCTACCTCTCTTTTCAAAAAAAATAAATATTTTTATCTATATTTAAAACTACAAATCTTTTATAAAATTGATTTATGTTAATTATAAATAAACAAAAATTTTATTTACTTGTATTATAGAAAATTTTATTCTCTACAAAATTATATCCATATTGCATATATTTTTTAATTGCTATATAATTTTGAAATATTTAAACATATATTTTAATTTTTTAATTATATATATTAAATTTATTTTAAAAATATAAATATTATTAATTATAAAAAATAATATAATAATATCATAACTAATTAATATTAACTAATTAAATATCATCACTTTAAATATCGTGTTCATAATCAAATAGTTCAATTCCGGTGGAACAGATGGAGTATTATATAAATTTTTTATTATTCAATTTTCATGCTAGTTTTTTTCTAATAAAAATAAAAATCTAAAACATAAATGGAAATAAATGAATAGGCGATGTTTTTCTTTTTTTTTTTTTGATCGGACGAATAGGCGATGTTTACGTGTGGGAAACGTGGTTGGGATGAGGCCGACAGTGCTTGTAAATTTCGGGAGGGTTGGAAAAAAAAAGAAAAAAATAAAAAATCGAACTATTAAGCCGAATTGAATCGAATTAAATTTTTTGTTAATCGAGCAATTTGGTTCGAATACAAATATTGCATATTTGATATTTGCTCGGTTCGATTTGATTTCGGTTTTTGATATTATTTTCGGTTCGGTTAACCGAACCGAATATATTTATATATTTATGTTATTATATTTTAAATTTTATATTAATAATTATATTCGATTCGGTTTCGATTTCGGTTCGATTACGGTTCGGTTTCGGTTCGGATATTTGAAATATTTGCAAACATTTTGATTTAATTAGAATTTTAATTATTTTTTAATATATCCCCTCCGTTTCATTAGTAAATATATATTTGTTTTTTACACGTAGTTTTAGAAATATTAGTATTATATTGGGATATAATATGAATAAAATGAAAATAACTAAAATAACCTTATTAGTATGTATGATATAAATGTAATGACATTTGTGTAATATATTGTAAGTTGTAAGGGTATTTGTAATGTTAGATAGATAGTACAATTATTAAAAAAGAAAATGGATACTTTGTTATATGACGGACTAAAATGGAAAAATAGATACTTTGTTATGAAACGGAGGAAATATTATTTTTTAATTTCGGTTCGGTTCGGTTCGAATTATTTGCAAATATTGCAAATTCGGTTAACCGAAATTTTCAGTTCGAATACGGTTCATGATTTCGGTTATTTGTTTGGTTCGATTCGAATATCAAATACCTATATATTTACAAATATCCGAACCGTGCCCATCCCTAAATTTCGGACAACACAACACGTTAATTGCCAATTGACTAGCCTTATCTTCTTTCATTGTTCTAGATAACTATTTCTTTTTATATTTCTGTTTTAATAGTTTTATAACAATTGATTATTTGATTTATTTATATATGGTGCGTGGGACCATTAGTCGATAGTTTTCACTTATTAGCTGATTTAATTAGCTAATTTGATTAATTGTTTGTATTAAAATATTTAGTAAAATAACGGTTTGACATTAATTGTTTATACGTAAAATGACAATTAAGAACATTAATATGTTATTTTTTAAAATATT